GTCAAAAGATCACAAATCGTATCTAGTCGAAGACATTACCCTTAAAAATTGAAAAAAATTCCCTCGTTCCCCGTAAAAGGGGGAAACCTCCAAAAAAATTACAAATTTAAAAATCGCTAATTTTCGAAATTTTTTCAATTTTTTTTACTTAAAAGTGCCATAACTTTTTCAAAAATAAACATATCAATATAATTCTTTTTTATATAGATGCATAATATCATTACCTTACATTTGGTATATTTTTTTCATAAATTTACCCCTTAACCTGCCCACAAGGGAGGATTTAAAATGACAACTTTTTCACAAAAAATTAATTTTTTTAACTTAAATTTTGAAAATGTTCCGGAAGGTCTGACACTTTAATATATATCTTAAATTAAAGCTAATGTAATATGCTTTATCATGAAAAAAAAAAATTTCGGACTTTATCTTATCTTCATGGTGAAAATGGCTACCGAATGCTATTTTTGTGTGAAAATTTTCGATTTTGTATTTTCCATTTTTAACTTTATTATGCTATAACTTTTTGAAAAATGTATGAATCATTACAATTTTTTTATGAGAAGTAGTATTTATATAGATATTTCATTCGACATACTTTTTTTTTAAATCGGACCATTTCCCTTAATACAGGGGGGATTCAAAACATAAAAATGCATATAGTAAGTAGAACTTTTTCAACTTAACTTTTGAAAGTGTTCCGGAAGGTCTGACACTTTTATATATATCTTAAATTAAAGCTAATGTAATATACTTTATAATGGTAAAAAAAAATTTCGGACTTTATTTTATCTTCATGGTGAAAACAGACATTAAACTTAATAAAAAAAATACGATTTTTGTAAAAAAATTCTTTTTTATATTTTTAACTTTATAATGCTATAACTTCTCGAAAGATGTATGGATCAATATAATTCTTTTTTATGTAGATGCATGATGTCTTTACCTATCATTTGGTATATTTTTTTTATAAATCTGACTTTTTACCTGCCTACAGGGGGGGATTCAAAATGACAACTTTTTCACAAAAAATTGACTTTTTCAACTTAAATTTTGAAAGTGTTCCGGAAAGTCTGACACTTTTCTATATATATTAAATTAAAGCTAATGTAATTTACTTTATTATGCAAAAAAAAAAAATTTGGACTTTATTTTGTCTTCATGGTGAAAATGGCTACCAAATGCTATTATTGTGTGAAAATTCTCAATTTTATTTTTTACATTTTTAACTTTATAATGCTATAACTTATTGAAAAGTGTATTGATCAATATAATTTTTTTATGGGAAATACTATTTTTTAATAATCCCTTTTTCATTCGACATACTTTATCTTAATCAGGATATTAATAAGGATCTAGCAGTTTATGAAGCTTTTGGAATAATCCACTAATTTTTTAAAATTAAACACTATCTATAGATTTGCATCGAAGCTTTTTTTTTGATAGTGATTTTAATCACTGCAGATATTATACTTGATCCAACTATGCCACGTCACCACTGTGCCGCGACCCCCCTGTGCTGGGTTTTTTTTACTATGATAATGTAAATTTAAAAAATATGTGTTTTAAGTAATTCTTATATCACTTTATTCTAGAATTATTATATGAATTTTACCTAAAGATTGCACTAATTACATAACTAAATTTAATTAACGCCTTACTAATAATATAAATGCATAAATTTCTTAGAATTATACAAATAATTTAAAGTATAATATCACCGTGACAGTTTTCTTCATTAAATAAAGAAAACTCTTTGTATTATTAATTTTGTAATACAAATACGGTTACGTGTATTTAATTAACTTTGATTGAACACGATTTACAGTACATTCTTCGATATTGCTATACACATTAAAATTAGATACATTCGAATGATAATTGTAATTATTTTGGTTGATATTGATACAAGAAAAGAACTATTGTACAATACTTAAATGAATTTTGATATTCAAGTAAAGTTCTAAGTAAAACGATGTCGCCTAAATTTTCAGTTTATTTCACATTATAGTAATAAAAAACGATTCTTTAAATCACTTTAATTTGCTCCGCTGATCAAATACATTGTTTTCTTTTTTTTTTGCAGCTTCAAAATTTTCATGAAGTGCAGAAATTTTAAAACTTATTTATATTTATAAAACCCTTATTTATTTTTTTAAAACCCTAATGACATATTTTTACAATTTTGATGAAAATAAACATTGTAACTACGTATAATTACATGAATATTATGTAGTATTACACAATATTTAATAAGTGTTAAGGTAATATAATGACAACTAGTATGGAGACCATTCTATAATTTCGTTGGGAAGTTCATCAAATGTTCTTTATAAAACTTAATGTTACATATAACAATGTCATAGTAACTTCCATCACACTCTCTTTTTGGTTTAAGTACTACATGGTTTAAAACGTTTTTGATGTTCTTAATTTATTTGTGAGACACATGCACATCTGTTCAACTACTCCGTCATAACATGTCTGACGAAATACCCCAAACATTACTCATGTAATCTTATTCTAACATAAAATTACGCAAAATCAGATTTTTGTTCATAAGTCTAACAACCTTCAATTATAATTTAAGTTTTAATAAGTAATAAATTATTCCAAAGCAAGTAGCTATTCAATTAGAAAGACAATATTAAATTATTTAATTATAGTTAAGAATAGTTTCAACCTGATAGTTTAAATAAAAATATTAATTTTTCATATTTATTTAAGTTATATTTTCCTACAAATGTCAATCTTTAAAAATTATAACTAATGAAATAGACATTAAATAAGAACTTACAAAATAAAATATTAAAAAAACATTGCTATACAAGAATTTTATAAAAATTAATTTACAATAATTATTAATTACTGTAAATTAATTTAATTGTAAATATTTTAATTACTAATTTAAATATTTCTAGTAAGATTTTTTTTTATTGTTGCTTCTAAATGAGGTGGTTATCTATGTTTTTTGAATGTATTAAAATAAAGCATTAGTACATATTAATATGTACTATTACTATTTTGTTAGTAGTTATATGTGGTTCATATAATTTTAAACATTTTTTCAGATAAAAAAGAAATGCTGAATCATATATATAAAATAACTTAAAAAAAGTTTGCTATGACTGGGAATTGTAGCAATAGTGTCAAATCAAACCGCGAATATGGTGAAAACTATTCCTTATAGATTTGATAATGAAAAACTACAATATTGTAATGTACATAAACTCAATTTTGTGGTTGAAAATTACTTATCTAAAACAGATGAGTTATAAAATCTTATAGATAATTTAAAAAAATACACGTGCATCAAGCAAAGTGTAAAAACTGTTGATAATTTAAGAAGATTTTAACAAAACATTAATGAAAGTAAAATACTAGCTGGTCCTATTAAATGGAATCCCGCATTTTATACGCTACAAAGATTTCTAGTCCAGAGTTAGTTAATTGTGTTTTACCTTGACATAATAATGCTCCTCCAATGATATATACTTTAGAAATTAATATATTAATAGAAATCTTATGAAATAATTCTTTTGAACAACCAATTGGCGAATTCTGATGAGAAAATTAAACAACTGCTAGCACAATAATTCCTTTGAAATCTATGATTAAAACTAAAATTACCAAAAGTAATGCTTGTTATGAAAAAACAAAACTTTCATATCAAAATTTAAAAAATAAATGTTTACCAAAGATTTGGTGAGTTTGAAAAAAATAAACTGTTAGTTATTGGAATAATCTTAAATATTAGATTTAAAAAGCTTCATATAGCTAGACATTTAAATTTTATTAGAACTATAGAAGATATCGATAAAATATGCTTCATCTACCCCTAATATTCATTCAAATGAGATACAAGATCTTTCACAATCACAATTTTCACCTTATTAATCTGAAGATATTTTATAATTTATTATCTAAGGTTTTATATATAACAGTGATTTTTTAATTTATTTGTGTAAATATAATTATTACAGTAAAAATTATTATCAGTATAATAAATATTATAATTTTTATTAACAGTATTTTATATTTATTTTACTACACGATTACATAAACAAAAATTTCAAAATTATAGTACTTTATTAAGAAATTTCTTTACAATAAAGTACTCCGGAAGATTTAAAGATCCTTAATAATAATAATTAAAAAACTGTTGTAATGAAAGCTAACTTTAAACCTTATCGTAGGTCAATGTAGAGTTTCGATATCCTTAACTGAATTGCATAAACAGAAATTCCATTGATCATGTCTTGGGACACCTATGGATGTTTCATATTTGTAGACAAGGAATCCGTGTTTATATCTACAGGCTCAATAAAAGGATTTCAACTTAAATTGGAATTTTGGTTGATTATACAGGATAAAAATTAAAAATAGGACTCTTAGAAATCCAATTTAGGCATAAAACGTGGTGATCCTATGGTAATATCGATGCTAGTAACGGCTTTATAAATGGTAGAAATATAAGGTAGCGAATAAACTGCTGAAAGTATTACTAAGAAATCGTATTTTAACTGAAATATATTCATCGAAAATATTTTAACCTCCAAGTATAGCATCTCAGTGACAAAAGAAACAGCTGACTGTTATCATGTTCAGGCGTTCCCTACTTATCACTTTAAAATATTTAATAAGAAAGTAGAACTTTTTATTTATTAAGATAACAATATTTGGATACGAAATAGGTAATTAAGGTAATTAATAATAGTTCTTATTTTTATTATTTCTTTTTTAAAAAATATACATTTTTTACTTTATTATTTTGTCATTTTTGTTATATCATAGTGTGATATGTATTATGAAAATTATTTTTTGGTGAAATTTACTGAAAGTTAATTTTTGTATTTATTAGATTTTTGTTGCTTCGATTTTGAAATAATTTGGTGCATAAAATTGGATCATACTTTCACTGATATGGTAATTATTTGTTATTAAATCTATCAAATGTTAATATTTTAAAGTACATTTAAAAATGATTATTTTTATGAAATTTTATACATTCAGGTCAAATTTATTTATAATAATCTTCCAATGGTATTTTTGTTTAGTTTGGTGAAAACAGTATAATTATCAATAAACTTATTACCATAAATAATGAGCATTAATATTAAGAACATGTTAGGGAATGATAAAATGCATTCGTTTTGTTTACCAGTTGAATCATGTGTTGTATGTGGTGATAGAGCTTCAGGTAACAAATTTTTAGAACTAATATAATTAAAATCAAATGCTTCAATTTATATTTAAACCATAAATAATTATATAGGGCGACATTATGGAGCTATTAGTTGTGAAGGATGTAAAGGTTTTTTTAAGAGATCCATTCGAAAACAATTAGGGTATCAATGTAGGGGTAGCAAAATGTGTGAAGTTACAAAAAATCATCGGAATCGTTGTCAATATTGTCGCCTTCAAAAATGTTTGTCAATGGGAATGAGAAGTGACTGTAAGTAGTTCTGTAAAATTTATAATTGGTTATAATTGATTTTTCATTATATTCTATTTTATTCAATTTTAATTTTAAATCTATTTAGTATAAGTATACATTTATGTATATTTTATTAATATTCTTCACATTTTAAGTACCGTTAAATGAGTCAATTTGAGGCAGTTAAATATCCATTATCATTTTAAATGTATCAAACTACAGCATTTGTAAAATACTTACAAGTATTTTTAAGAAATACGAAATATTTACTTACAAAAATGAAGTGATGAAATCTTTAAAATATTTAACTACCCCATGTTTAATCACCACCACTGGTTTATCATTTATTGTGACTTATTTTCATAATAATTTTTTATAAAATTTTTATAGCTGTGCAACATGAAAGAAAACCTGTTTCTGATAGAGGAGAATCTGTAAATAGTTTATCTGGTCCAGATAATAACAATATACCTACATTTTCATATGGTAATCATTCATTTGCCAAAACTGAAATTGCACCATTCTTTAAAAACGATTTACCTTTTATAAAAACTGAGATGTCTTTTATGACACACCGAACATTATTTACTGATCAATCAACAGCACATTTACTACAATCTTCAAGTAATTTATTTTGTTGAATTAAATGTATATAAAATTAAAACTATGACTAACTCCATGAAACAATTAAAATATTCTAGTTAATATACAAAAAATAATGAGGAAACAATATAGCAAATTCAAATTTATAAATTTAAGTACTAGAATTAAATTTGAATAAATAATAGTATAATTATAATATAATATAATTATAATTTATAAAATAAATAAAAATTAATTTAATTTATAGAAAATCATTTTCAGGTGAAAATGATAATTCAAGTCGTACTCAAAGTTATTTGGATTATTACATGGCTGAAGATGATGAGTCTTCTGTCAGTCATTCCCCTAGTAATGATGCTGATATTAAACCATTCAGTCAAGATAACAAAAGTCTCTTGACTTATGCTTTAGATTCAATGAATAATATAACTCAAGTAAAACAATTTTTATTTAATTTTTAGATAATTATAACAAAATTTATTTTTTAGCAAAATCCTAATAGTAGTGAACAAATTTATGATAATGACACTGTCCATGATTTCAAAGTAATAGACATATCTGGAGAAATAATGCCTGAAACCAACATAGTCTTCCCATTTCAATCACCAAGTCCTAAGTGCATGTATCTCAATTTACATTTCATCTGTGAAAGTGCATCTAGACTTTTATTTTTAACTATAAACTGGGTTCAAAGTCTTCCAGCATTTCAACTTCTTTCGTAATTATATGACATAGTGTTTTAAACTAAATGCATAGTTTTTAATAACATTCAGTATATTTTATTTAGATTTGAAACACAATTGAGTTTGTTGAGAAATGCATGGCCTCAATTGTTTGTATTAGGACTAACACAGTGTGCAGAAGCATTATCTCTGATGCCTATTCTAAATTCAATGTTATCTCAGCTACAAAATGAAAATGTTCAATCACAAAATTCTAGTAGAGCTAAAGAGGTATTTTGAATCTTATAAAGTTGTTAAAAACAATAAATCCAATAATTAATACAAATTAGATTAAATTAAATAAATATTTGAATTTTTATTTTATACTTCTATTACCAAATCATTTTTTTTTTTAATTATATTTAATTAACTTACAAATTTGAAGTTCAATTATACGGTATTATGAAAAAGAAACCATCTAACAAAAATTGAAAAGAATAAGCTGATTTTAATTGTGAAATTATGAAAACAAAAACAGGGTATTTTCTAAGGTGATTTGTTTATGATAAACCACTCAATTACTCATAAAATAAATTCAATATTAAAAAATATATATATTTTTTATTATATATGTACTAATTAATCAATTTTAAATTTTTTTCATTCCTTATAACTTTGAATGGTGTTAACTTTATTTTTGTTGATACCAATTTACATTTTAATTAGTTTATAAAATAAGAAATTATCTAATTAAGAAAATGATGTGTCAATAACAACTTTTGAACTATACTTTAAATGTTATTAACATTTTTCTATATGAGTGGGGAAAAAAAGTGTCTAAAAATGTTAAAATTGGTAGGTATGATCATACTTTAAACTGTATCTAGTCTTTATTTCAAAATCGCCTTAACTTCTAAAGTTCTGATCTAAAAGTTGTTATCAAACTATATATTTTTTTAATTAGATTATTTCCTATTTTATAAGCTATAAGTTAAAAGGTATAATGCTAAAAAGTAATTAATAACTAATAATTTAAATAATATATTTAACTAAAAAAATTGAAAAAAAATTTTATAATTGTATTTATTTTACAAGTAATTGAGTAGTTAAAATAAATGGATTACACCGTACATTGCAATTTGCATACTATAACCAAGTCAATATTTGATCACTTATATATTACTCCTAACTTATATTTAAAAAATAAATAATCTAAATAATAATATCAATGAAATCACATTAATTACCATGGTTGGGCATAAACAAGTTAATAATGAAGTAAATCTTTTGACTTAAATGAGGTATTTAGATTTTACATTAACTTAATTCCTTTATTATTCATTTAATGACTAATTAATAATAATTATTTTAGTATCCTCTTTTTAAAATTAAATTCTAAAATTATATCCCAATTTTTTTTTATAGAAATTAAGTAAAAAAATTATATATAGCACCTTAAAAAAAAATTTGACCACCTTTCAACTATAAAATGTTTGCAAACCTATTTGTACTTACATTGACTTATCTTAACTCGTTAAGTTAATAAAATTTTGTCTACTTAACTTTTTATTTATTTTAATTTAATTTAATTTATTTTAAATAAAAAACTTAAGTATATTGTTTAATTAAGTTGTTATTTTTTTTAAATTACTTAATTTTAATAAGTTGAAAAAATTATTGACCTGCTCATCTTCAATAATTGTTAAATAAAATATGTAGATGAAAAAGAAGATATGAAGTAGAATCTTAAATAAGAGATGGTTTTTTTTTTTGTATAATGTTATTTAATTGTGTTGAAAAATATACAGGGTGATTCATTAAGGATAAGACACTCGTTTACACAGTAACTATTGAAAATTTTTAATTTTTGATAAGGAAAATATTGTTTGATTCAAAAAATACTGTAATAATATGTAGTAAAAACATGATATTTTTCATCCCTTCAAGGTTAAAAAACATTAACTTGAGTTTTTTTAAATGAAATACATATTTTGAATTTAATAAAATGTTTGAGTTTTTAATTTAATAGCAAATGGTATTGGATTTTTAATATAACTTTATTTGTTTATTAGATATTAACATTTAAAGTTTCAATTTTTTTAATTAATATACATGTATATTACACAAGGAATTACAAATACAGGTATTAAATTCTGTAAGCAATTGGGTGGCTTATGATAAAAAAATCACTCTATGCGTCTATAATTAAAGCTTATGTAATATACTTAAAAAAAAATTGTATCCACGCTTTTATTCAATGTGCAAATGGCTGTCATGGTTAATAAATGTGCTATTTTTATGTTAAAATTTTTAATTTCATATTTTATAATTTTAACTTTACATTGCTATAACTTTTTGAAAAATGTTTGAATCAAAAAAACTCTACTTTTTTAAATACTTAATATATTTCCCTTTCTTCCTATTTTTATTTAATTGAATCATTTCCCTTCATACAGGCAGAGATTAAAACTTTAACACATTTTTGTATAAAAAATAGAATTTGTTCAACTTAACTTCTGAAAATGATACAGAAATACTGTACTTTTACATACATCTTATATTAAAGCTTATGCATTACGCTTTAATTTGAAAAAAGAGTTGTCCCCACCACTTATCTTCGATGTGAAAACAGACATCAAAGTTAAAGAAAAAAGTATGAGGTTTGTGTAAAAATTGTCTATTTTTTTTATTTTATTTGCTAATTTAACTAAATCATTTTTTTGTTTGTGTTTATTAGATATAAACACTTAAAGTTTCAAATTTTTGAGTTAATATACATGTATAATACACTAGGGATTACAAATACAGGTAGCTAATTGGTTTTTCATGACATCGATATTAGCATGTACACTGCATTGTTATTATCAATGATAGTAAGGCACATTGTTGTGAGTTAATAAATACACTAACTGACAATACAGAAAGTATATCTATTGATAATCATAATTGATAATAAACAATCCGTGACTGTGACAGCAATGTGTTTATATCTAATAAACAAATAAAGTTATATGAAAAATTCAAATGCCATTTGCTATTAAATTAAAAACTCAAACATTTTATTAAATTCAAAATATGTGTTCTCATTTAAAAAAACTCAAGTTAATGTTTTTTAACCTTGAAGGGATGAAAAATATCATGTTTTTACTATATATTATTACAGTATTTTTTGAATCAAACAATATTTTCCTTAAGTAAAATTAAAACTATATTAAAAATATTATTAATTTAAAAAAACTAAAAAATATTAAAAATATTAAACTCAAAAGCCACAAAAAAATTAATGAAAAGTCGCGGATACGTATTTCGGAAACAATGTTACCATTATCAACGCTAAACACATACTGCAGTACATACATCCGCGACTTTTCATTAATTTTTTTGTGGCTTTTGAGTTTAATATTTTTAATATTTTTTAGTTTTTTTAAATTAATAATATTTTTAATATAGTTTTAATTTTACTTAATTAACTAGCCACAAGTGATCAATTTTTATTATTATAATATTTTCCTTACCAAAAATTTAAAATTTTCAATAGATACTGAGTAAACAAGTGTCTTATCCTGTATGAATCACTGTATATTTCTTAATATATGTTTATAAGCCTTACTTCGTTTTTGAAAAAAAAAAATCTAACTGAGAACTATAATTAATTTTTTAATTAACATTTAAATGTTATGAGACCTATTTTTTTTAAGAAGTAATTTGGGAGCATTGCATATATTCACACCCAAAAAGGACTAAATAAAAAATGTTCTTCTCAAAAAAACATAATTATAGAGAGTGATACAAATCTATCAACTCTCATAATTTTTTACTATCATAACTGTAGCTAAAAAAAACATTATAATGTATTTTTTGTGTTTTGTTAGCTAATGCAATTTTAGACTAAGTCAAAATATATTTTTATTATTTATTTTAAAAAAAATTTTAATTTTTTCAACATTTCAATTAGCATTTTTTTTTACAAACTTTTAATGAGTCTATCACAATTTTGAAATAAATGTTGAATTACAACACATTTTAATACATGTAGTGTATTGTTATAATGTTTACTTCACTAGTTATTTTAAAATTTAAAAAATAAATAAAATATATGATTTTAACATAGTCTAAGAATGTATATATTATAAAAAATAAAAACAAAATTACATTGAAGTATTAATTGTATCAAAAGTTATAAGAGTTGACAGTTATATCTTTTAAATCCTTTATATTAAAAAATTAAATATTATTTTAGCTCATAGATTATTTGAACAAACTTCAAGATTATTTAAAAGAAATGGAGAATATAGATGTTAGTAAAGTTGAATATGCATATTTAAAAATCATATCTTTATTTAATACTGGTAAGTTTCTAAAACTCATACATTTTTACATTAGCTTTATATGGTCCTTAATCTATTGTTTACACGTTTACATTTAAACACTTAGAAATCTGGTGTGACTTAGTTAATTGTTCACTAGATGCTTATTAGTTTATAACCTGTGTAATCTAAAATTTTATATTCAGTCAAGCTCAGGCAAACAACATTTTTTTTTTTAACTCAGTCTGATGAATAAGTTCTATACCCATCCAGGCTCAATCCAACTATTTTTATTATTACAAAATGAGCTTGCCTGACCCATGTAAAGCTCTGATTTATAGAAACAAAATAGTATCTGTTTGGCTTAATTTTTAACCAGATAATCCTTCTGAAAGACAACAGTTGTATAAACTTCAAGAAAAAGCACTTAAAGAATTGAAGCAACATATAATAAATGAAAAATTAGATGAAAATCGCATAGCTATTTTACTATTACGACTTCCAGCATTACGTTCATTAAGTCCAAATATCACTGAAGAAATATTTTTCTCTAGTATTCTTGGTAACTTTCAGATTGATGCTGTAATACCTCATATCTTAAAGATGAAAGGATTCAATTCAGGTACAATCATTAGTCTTTATTAATACTAACATTTTTTTTAATAATCAGAAGCTGATATTACATTATATTTAATAAATTAAAATTTAAGTGTTGATGTTATATTGGATATCATGAGGTAGTATCAATTATAATCTTAAAACCCTAAATAACAATACAATATTCTAATTACATGATATATTAAATTTATTATTATACAATTACTATATATAATATATGACTTGTTCTAGTAAGAGCATGTAAAAAGAAAAAATGTTAGCTCCTTTTCCAAACAAAAATTCTAACATTGTACATACATGTCATACTATGTCATGTATTTTCATTTATTTTTTATTGTGATTAAATAATGAAAAAAATAATATAATTAAACCAGTGTATCAACTAGGCAAATTTTAATCTTACTGAGCTATATGGGATGTTCAGTAAGTAAGAAAATGGATATCTATTTTTATTGTTTGTAACAATTAGCCTGTTTCCTTACTTACTGAACACTCTGTATAGGCTGCCTATTATTGCAAAAAGTTTTGAGGTCTTTTATCAAAGAATCATACATTCCATGTATTCATTAATAAAATCTTAAATATTACTATGCATAAAACAGTATTTTATAGGAGTATGAGTGATTTAGTTAAATTATTTTAAATATATTTCAGATTATGAAGATATGGATGCATGAAGAGAATTCTGATAATTATTCAGTTTATTGTTATATATTTCTCAAACGTTATGGACTTATATTTTTGAATCAGATCTAACCATAAAGATTAAACCTAACCTATTAATTAGTCTGGTTAACAAATTAGACAAAGTATATAACTAATATTATGGATCAAAACAAAAAAATTTAAATTAAACATACAAGAAATGAATATAATACATAATTCAGTTTAATTAAAAAAATTTTTAAATTACATAACTTGGATTTATTAATAATAGTGTGCGTATGGTAATAAACAGTGATAATTTTCAAATCTAATTTATCTTTTAAGTTAATGTTTTATTTTACTTAGATAACTATTTTTAGTTAAACATTTATTTCAATAATTAGTGATTTACTAAAACACAAAAAAAATATATTTATATACTTTAATTTGTCTTCCCAAATAATTGTTATATTTTTATTTATTTTTTAATTTGTTATATATTAAAAATTATAATAGAGTTAAAGTTCTAAATGAGATAAACATTAGTATTTATACTAAAGCATCTTTAAAGGGTTTATTTACAAACAAGCTTATTTAATACACTAAATAACTATAAATTTGATTTTTTAGAAATTAGTTGTAATAAAAATAGTTTTAGAAAAGGGTTTAAATAATGTATTTATGTATGGTCTAGATAATTTCAAAAATTATATACATGCTAAATGAAATACTATTTTGTAATGTAATATCATAATTTTTATTACCTTATAAAACTTCTGCTAATTTTCTACATAAATATTTTTAGAATAGTTTATGTTGAGAAAATTTGCTATAAGTTTATTTTTTAAAAATATATGTTTTTTTATAAATTATTAATAAGTAATTTAAAAATTTACTGTAATTAATTTTGATTAATTGATGATTTTTCATACAATTATTTTTGTGTCTTATTGTAATTATGCATTAATTTTTAAACAACATATAAAGGGTTGAGCAATTCAGACAATAAAAAAATTAAGAAGTTTTATCTTATTCATAGATATATTATTTATTGTAATCATTTAGTTTAAATTACCTGTTTTTATAAATTGTAATCTATAGCTTCATATTTGTTTTTATTATTAGAAGTGTTAATTTATATGTAATTTTGACAATAAAAAGTTGAGTAATAACAATGTTCTTTGATTTCATTTAGAATATTATATTATTCAATAAAAAAAAATTATAAATAAAATTATTATTTTACACACGTTACTTTTACAAGCACTAATCAAATTAATAATACCAAAAGTATATATATATATATATATATTTATTACAATTTAAATTTACTGGATTATAATTATATATATTTTTTAAATTTTACTTTTCTTCGGTTAAAAATTTTTCAAATAATTTTAGTTCTAAAAGAGCTATTAGAACTTTATGTAATTATTACATGAAATATCAGATTAGCTTCATAATAATTATAACATTTTTTTTGGCTGTTACCACATTTTCTCAACTCTCACCAAACCAATTCTTTCAACAATATATAAAAAGATCACAAATTGTATCTAGTTAAAGAATGACTTTCAAAAATTAAAAAAATTTCCCTCGCTCCTCATAAATGCAAGCTAAGTCGCTCTCTATCAGATAGATAACATGGTAGTACAATTTAATGTGCTGATTAAATTTTAATAAATATAAATTTATATTATTTGTATCTCTTTTTTATTTGAGCCAGCTAAATAATATAACTTAATATAATGGAAAAACCCTGTTAAATATTTTTAAATTCGATTGGAAGTTGTAGAAGGTATTAATTTTACTATGATGTGTTTTTATGTCTGTTACCACTTACTTTCAACTCTCACCAAACCGATTTCTTTCAATGATATGTTAAAAGATCATAAGTTGTATCTAGTCGAAGACATTACCCTCAAAAATTGTTTTTTTTAATGGAAACACATTTTTTGAACTCAATAAAATTATTGAGTTTTTAATTTAATAGCAAATGGTATTGGATTTTTAATATAACTTTATTTGTTTATTAGATATTAACATTTAAAGTTTCAATTTTTTTAATTAATATACATGTATATTACACAAGGAATTACAAATACAGGTATTAAATTCTGTAAGCAATTGGGTGGCTTATGATAAAAAAATCACTCTATGCGTCTATAATTAAAGCTTATGTAATATACTTAAAAAAAAATTGTATCCACGCTTTTATTCAATGTGCAAATGGCTGTCATGGTTAATAAATGTGCTATTTTTATGTTAAAATTTTTAATTTCATATTTTATAATTTTAACTTTACATTGCTATAACTTTTTGAAAAATGTTTGAATCAAAAAAACTCTACTTTTTTAAATACTTAATATATTTCCCTTTCTTCCTATTTTTATTTAATTGAATCATTTCCCTTCATACAGGCAGAGATTAAAACTTTAACACATTTTTGTATAAAAAATAGAATTTGTTCAACTTAACTTCTGAAAATGATACAGAAATACTGTACTTTTACATACATCTTATATTAAAGCTTATGCATTACGCTTTAATTTGAAAAAAGAGTTGTCCCCACCACTTATCTTCGATGTGAAAACAGACATCAAAGTTAAAGAAAAAAGTATGAGGTTTGTGTAAAAATTGTCTATTTTTTTTATTTTATTTGCTAATTTAACTAAATCATTTTTTTGTCTGCCCCCCCAAAAAAAAACTATAATTTGATAGGGGCATTAATTTACTTAAAAACGAGGTATTATCCATAACTTTAAAAACAATTTCAGAGCAGCCTATAAAATGAGTCTTGGAAAAAAAATAAGCAAAAACCATAATGATTTTAAAACAAAAATGTTTTTGTTATTAATAATTCTTTCTTTCATTTATATTCTTTTTCTTTTTTTAGTAGTTCATAACACTAATTTGATTAAAAATTAATATATATGTATATTGTCATTCATAAGACATGTCAAAACTTTTTTCTAATTTCCCCTTTTTTCATAAAATAAAAATAGTTATTTATTATTAAATTAAATAATATTTTCAATAGCTAAAATATTAAAAATATAAAATAATTTCAAAAAAAAATTTAGCATAGGTGCCATGAAATTATTAATTCATTCAGATGAGTCAGACCACCAAATTTCAGTGTCATTGCTAGATGTATTTTGAGATATATTTATTGGTTCTATAGTACTCTGTAAGTCATGAATCGATTCTGATGAGTCTGACCACTCAACTTCAAATTGAGATTTTTCTAAAGAAACATTTTGAAATTTAAAAACATCACTGTTGTTCACATTACCATGATGACTTTTTGATTTTTTTTGTAACAAAGAATGTAAAGAACATCTACTATAATCACTTCCAGAAGAGGATGACAAATTATTAAATGTTTTTTTTTTTGATAAAAATGGTAGATAATCATTTTGATTGTGGATTGGTATTACATCACATGTTTTATTGTTGGCTATGGTAACATTAGTGCCATGATTACTATAAATTGATTCTTTGGACGAACTTTCACTCAATAAAGATGATTGTGATGTATTTTCATATGAATCTAATGACTGCAAATCCATTAAACTCAAAACTAAATTTTTTTCAAAAATATCAGTTAAATATGGATCCTTTGGCAAAAAAATGGATTTCTGTAATAAAAATAAAATATAATCGATACATAATCTGTTTATATAAGTCTATTTAATATTCACTAATAATAATTAATAAATATTTACCAAGTGTTTAAACTTAAGAGGATTATAAGTCTTTTTAGAAGAATATGTTTTGATTTCATTGATGTCTGAAAATGTCAAAAAAAAGTTATATAACAATGTTTGTATATCAATTGATATGTAAGTCTGTTTTAATATAAAGGAAGAATCAGAAAAACTATGTTGTATTATTTATCAATTTTTTCATTGTTTAACCTATTAATAGTGCCATTTTATCTAAAATTTTATCTTAACTTATAAAAACACAAAATCATTTATTTATAGTTCTAACCTCTTTGGAATTAATTTACAATTAAATTAATAATAAACCCTTAATTTCACTCAATAATATAACCTCAGTTAGAACACATTGCTAAGTTTTGAAGCAAATTAAAACAAAATTCGACAAAAATTATAACTAGATCACCCTTGGTTATCTTTTATTTAATAATTAAAAACTTGTGCTGCCCAATTATAAATATAAATATAGTTAATTAAATTTTAATATTATTTCCTGAGAAACAATTATTTAAAATTATTTTATTTCATCAAAAAATCATAATTAATAACTTTGCTAAAAATTTTATCTTTTAATGAGTTATTGAACTTCTTAATTTAAAAAACCTGGATAACTCCAGGTAATTGTTTAGGAAAAATTATCTAATAGATTAAAACTAAAAAATTACCATTATAATGTATTTTTGAATCAAAATGCTTTATGAGTTTTTTTAGTGGTCTATATGAGTTATTAGTTTCTTCATAAATTTCAAATTCTCCATGATAAACATTTCCTTCGATGTTTCTTGGAGTAAAACAAAAACTTATCTTACCACGTTGATTTTGGGTTATCAACATTTCTAGAGCATTCTTTACATTTTCATCATCAAAACATAGATTCAGATCTACGTAAAAAGTAGGTAGTGATAATTGTAAAAACTTTAAAGGACATATTCTTAATTCTAGTTTATCACTTTGTTCTGTAAATCTCTAAAGAATTAAATATAATAATAAGTAACCTAATAAATTAATTTAACTATTTAACTTATAACCTGTGAATCAATCAAATATAGCTCAGGTGAATAACCTTTATGACTTGATTTTGAAATAATGCCTCGAAACCATTTTTTATTGTTTATTTTAGTAATAACAGCCTGCAAAATATTTTATTTTTGTATTAATTAAATATATTAATTTGAAAACCTAAAAATGCTTATTTTGAATATTATTGATGTACAGAAAAAAAATTGACACTGATAAATTTATTAGAGTAACAATCAGAACTAAAAGTGAACCTTAATACATTTATTGATTATTATAGGTGAAAATGTAGCTAAATGTAGTTATATAATAGTTTACAATGTATGTAAATATATATACATAATTTTAATTACATTTTCACTTATAATTGCCAATAAAAGTATTATGCATCATTTATAAAAGGATAATCTTACTATTTTTGATTAAGTAAAAAGTATTTTTTATGTCATTTTTACTTAGGACTGTTATAAACAAAAAAAAAATTGCAAGTGATAATATGTGTATCATGGTACCAATAAGTAATTTTTATTATGACACAGTACCGTGTTTCCCTCAGCCACAAATCAAGTTATCAACTTATATAGAAGTGTATTGATATCTGAATCATATGTGCATGGTGGCAAAGTAGTAAGATTTGTCTTTACAATGCATTAAATCTCAGATTCTAATTCAGATTAATGCTCCTCTTTTTCACATGATTTCTGGTACACTTTTGATGACAGTCTGTCAATTTAAGGCAACCATATCAAAGATAAAAATGTTTTCAGTAATTGAATTAAAATAATTTATTTAATTTAATGTTTTAAATGATTTAAATAATATTTAAAACCAATTCAAAGTGTGATGATATTAAACAGATGTTTTTTGCTTAACAATCTTAACAATACCTGACTATTTCACTATACACCAAACCAGTAGCCACTCAATTACTCACAAAATAAATGAATCACTAATTGCAGAATCGGGACTAGTCGTTTCTATCAAAAATTTTGTTTTTATTATTTAGAACGAAGTAGCTATACACTTTATTATTAATATTATTTAACTTATTTATTATAAGGACACAAATTTGTTACATTTGTCATTAAATTATTCATGAAACATAAATCATAAAATCTGTATTTTCTAAAATTATAAAAAATTTTAAGTCCATGGATATAAGTTTATCATAAAAATTATAAAATTTAATCAATAATATTGAAAAAATTATTCAGTTTTTTGTCTCCTCTGGAAATTTAAAAAAAGTTGACTTTTAAGTAATAAATATATAGAATATTGAAATAAAAATTTGTTTTTTTAATAAATTTTTAGCCTTATCAGCTATTATCTACTTTTTAGCATCATCCCATTAACTTAGAGGGATGTCAACTTTATTTATTAGATTTCAAGTAATTTTATAATAAACTTAAATTTTTATGAACACCATGATATCCTGGTATTATGTAAAAATTTGTCATTTAAAAATCGCAATTGTTATGTTTTACTTATAATTGAAAAATACATGTACCATGGTTGCTATTTTACTAATAATGCCTTTTTTTTTTTGCACAAAGGAGCGTCTAAAAAAAATATTGACCAGAGGTACCAAATGGTCAAATGCGTCTGGGTTTAAGAGCTCTAAGTTAATAGTTGTTAGCTGTAAACATTTAGATTTATTATTGATATTTTAGAGATATTAATTATAAATGAATCTTCCTTGTTTAATATTACAATTAAAAAATAGATTAATCATGTAAGTTAACAAGTATAATTAATTTTTTTTAACTATTTGACACATGTTTTTTTTAAATATATATAAAACCGTTTCAAATATTATAAAAAAATGTTAGTTTTTTTTATGTCTTTTTATATATACTATATATAGTTGCTTAACAATGTTAAATCAATTTTAAAAATAGCGTAGTTCCTGTTAACAACTAAATTTTAATTTTTTGAAAAATGAACTTGGACATGTATGTCTCTTATGTATAATTTAATCATTTAAATTAAATTAAAAACTACTTACCCTTCCAACATCTATTCGAGGGCAATCTAAATTTTTGAACCAATCGTCACATTTTTCATTTTCAAACGATAAAAGATGTTTGTAATATTTTAAAAAATATGTTGTTGCATCCTTATTAAATTGTTCAACTATGATAAAGCAACTTTTAGTATTTTTTAAATGGCCAACAATATTAATCAAATATCTGTTTCCAATCTCCATTAGTGAAAAAATGTCTATAATATAAATTCTAAAACATAACAGTACAAGATCATATCACAGAATAGATACGATCAGAATGATCACTCTCGACATAGATTTGATAAATGATTGTTTAAACTTTAAACAGATTAAGAAACTCTGTATCTGACGACGTTGAGAAAACATATTTGCCACGAACTGATAATGCTCCGACATTTACATACTTCGATATTTGATAAGGTAGTAATTGTTCCGACCATCTGATACCATAGGTTACCATAACCACAATGGATTTTACTCCGACCTTAAATTAAAAAAATAAGACGGTAAAAACTCTGACATTATCGATAATTTGATAGTTCGATTATGCATTGAAAGTTATGTTATATTTTGATTGTATTATTATGTTATAGCGCGCATCAATCTTATATGTTATAACGTCAGGGTCACGTTGTTTTAACGTTTTTTGTGTTTTGAATTCCTAATGGGTAAGAAACTACTACATCATTTAATTAATTTCATTATTAATAATATTATAAATTAATATATTTTTTTTAATTAGTATATAGTTGCTACTATAGTTATTGTACAATAACATACAATTTGCTTTTATTTTGTTATTATTTTCTGTTACAATTTCTTACATTTGACAAATGTTATTAATACTCAAATAATAATAGCATTCATTAAGTAACATAAAATTAACAGTTTTTAATATAAATGTTCATGTTTGAAAAAGTTTGCTCTATTGTTAAAATATATATTTTGAGAATTTTATTTCTTAATTATCCAATAATTACAAAATATTTTCTTCAAATCAAAAAACTTTTAGTTATCTGTTTTTCCAATTGACTCACGAAATTTTAAATAACCGCAACTTATTTTTAAACTTCTAAAAGATCCATTTGAAAACTAATTTTTCAATAACAAATATATGCTGTGAAAATTGGCATGTGCAATTTTATTAATGATTAATTCATAAGTGAGAATTATTAATAATTAATGACTAACATAAACATAAAATCGTTAATATTTCTACAATATAAAATTGGGTGTTCTAAATCCTATTTGACCACGTGGATAAAAATCTTCGGGAAGAGTTAAAATAATAACTAATTATTTGTTCGGATTTTAATATATTAGTTCAATATTACGTCCTATTTAAATTCTCAAATCGTTTTTCAAATAAATATAAATGCATTAGTATATTATAAAATGAAAATTGATATTGTCACGAATTAATTAGTTAATACGTATAATAGCTAATATACGAATGTATAGTTATAAAATGTATTTACACAAAAGAATAAATGCTTAAATTTATTATATGCATAGTAATGTAATGTACTGTTTTGTAAAAATGTAATGCCAGAATTACAAATATATATTTGTTTTTTTTTACGCTTTTATTAACCCATTAAGGGCCATAGCGGCCTTCCCCAAAGGAGGAGGTTACCTATCCACTTTTTACTCCTGGATGGGTGGTTAGTCCGTCGCCGGAGAGTGGGATGGCGACTCCAATTACCGAACTGATCTTTTGTTCGGTAAATGAAGCCGCCCGTGACCGAGTTTCGAACCTGAGACAGTGCGCGTCAAGCACTGCCGCATTACCGACTCGGCCACATCGTCCTACTATATATATATATTTATAAATATAAAAAAAGTTGTGCATTTCAATATTACATTATTATATTTGATTTCCATTTATTGAGAAAAAATAAATAATTGATTACCAATTATGATTATAAATTAAAATATTTAACTCTATGCGTATAACTGACAAAACTTCAGGCAATCCTCATACAAATGAAAAAAAAACTCAACCATTGTTTACTGAATTGACAGTATATTTTTAACTTGAGTTATTTAAGTTTACAACTAATTATCTTAACAGAAGAGTGAAGTAAATTTATGATAATTCATAAACTATACTTTTATCAAACATCTGTTTAATGACGAATCCTATCATTAGTGACACGCATCCCCTATATTATTATTTTTTTTTTTTAGCAATTAATAAATGAGAAAACTGCAACTAATGAAATGTTATAATAATAGGCACTAATAAGGAGAGAAAAAAAAGATTTTAAGTCTGAAAATTGGAATCGCTCTTCTTTTACCTCGTCAAAAAAAAAACTTTTTATATAACTGGGGTTGTTTTAGTATAAAGCCCCATCCTTACATTTATGTACCTATTGTATAGCTATTTTATTATATTAATTAATAAGTGATAAGGGTTATGTTTTTCCATCGGATAATATATTGGTACGATATTTATCTACTCCAAAATTTGACAATTGTTTAATCGATTTCGCAAAATATCGATATTTGGAGAAATCAATTAATTGTTCTATTCTAAGTAATTATCGTCGTAATAAAATACAAATTTTTGTAAGTAGGTATTCGCAGTAAATGTATTCGGAGAAATTTTTGTACAATGTCGGAGCAGTTCGTGGCAATCCCCGTAACCCTCTGACGTTTACGTGAAATTAAATACAGTGTTGTCAAAAAAAAAAGCGAAATGTTCATATTATTCATACGTTCATAGACACAAATATAAATAATAAACTACATTGCTAACTGGCTTCTATTTGTCTATGCAAGCCGATTAAGTCAAATACTCGCTATCTTTTTTGAGGCCAAATATTAGCTTCGACGCAGAGCTGAATTAAATTAACTGTAATGTGTTTATTTTTTGTATCTGTTACCATTTATTCTCAGGTCTCACTGGACCAATTTAATGCAATATGTCAAAAGATCACAAATCGTATCTAAATGAAGACATTACCCTCAAAAAATAGAAACAATTTCCCTCGTTCCCCATATATGGAATAAATCCCCATTTACCAAAAAAAAATTACAATTTTAAAAATCAAACATTTTTGACATTTTTTCAAGTTTTTTTTCTAAAACTTTTTGAAAAATAAATGAATAAAAACAAACATTTTTTTTTAATATACATTGGGCAATTTGGTACATTATTTTTTATTTTAAAATCTGACTTTTTCAACTATGGTCCAGAAATACAGACACTTTTATACACACCTTAAAGAAAAGCCTATGTAATATACAAAAATATGAAAAAAAAATTTTTTCAAACTTTAGACTATTTTTATGGTGAAAATAGTTACCGTATTCAAAAATATGTCATTTTTGTGTTCAAATTCTTAATTTTTATATTTCTAAAACTTATTGAAAAATTTATAGATCAATACAACTTTTTTAATTATTATTTTATACATACACCTTTCATCAGATATACTTTTTTTTTAAATCGGATTTGGGGGAAGAGGTGTCAAAACTTTAAATACGTAAATAGAAATTTGTCCACTTAACTTTGAAAATGTTCCAGAAATGCTGACACTTTGTTATGATCTTACATTCAGCATAGTATTGATGGCTTTAGTTGATGCCAATTATTGTTTTTTTTTTGTACACAAACGTTGGATGCCAAGGAAGAATTAGTGATGGAGGAGTTTTCAAAAATACTTCTCTCTTTCAAAAAATAGAGGATAATCAATTGGTGTTTCCTCCTGACCAACCATTATCACCAAGAACTTTACCAATTCCTTTTGTATTTGTAGCGGACGATGCTTTCGCCCTTTATCCGCGTATTATGAAACCCTATCCAGGGACATACGATAAAGGGAGCGTAGAAAGAATTTTTAATTATCGACTCTTGCGAGCTAGACGTGTTGTTGAAAACGTGTTTGGTAATATTGCTTCAGTATTTCGGGGTTTAAGAAAACCATTATTATTGGAACCAGAAAAGGCTGCCAATATTACAATAACTTGTACTTAGCTGCACAATTTTTTAAGAAAAAGTAGAACATCAAAGCAAATTTATACTCCTCAAGGTACATTTGACAACGACAATGAACAAGGATTTATTCCAAGAACATGGCGTGAAGACCAAGGAGACTTGAGTTGTTTATTACCGCTTCGGAGGGTACTGAGGAAACTTGGCGAGCAAGCTAAGGTCATTAGGAAAGAATTTTCAGATTATTTTATTACTTCTGGCAAAGTATCGTGGCAGGTAAAAGCTATTAATTTTAATCAATTTAATGAATTAAATTTTTTATCTTATATTTATTATTATTTTACCTATTAGTATTAGAAATGTAAATTTAAATAGCACATTTAACTTGTTTTATAAGGCTTAGATTAAAAAAACCCAGCACAGCGGGGCCGCGGAAAAGTGGTGACGTGGCATAGTTGAATCAAGTATGATATCTGACAGTGATTAAAATCACTATAAAAAAAAACGCATCGATACAAATCTTTAAATACTGTTTAATTTTAAAAAATTGGTGGATTATTCCAAAATCTACATGATCTGCTATTTCCTTATTAATATCCTGATTAAGATAAAGTATGTCGAATGAAAAAGGGATTATTAAAAAATATTTTTTTTCATAAAAAAATTGTTTTGATCCATACACTTTTCAATAAGTTATAGCATTATAAAGTTAAAAATGTAAAAAATAAAATTGAGAATTTTCACACAAAAATAGCATTTGGTAGCCATTTTCACAGTGAAGACAAAATAAAGCCCGAATTTTTTTTTCCCCATAATAAAGTACATTATATTAGCTTTAATTTAAGATATATATAAAAGTGTCAGACTTTCCGGAACACTTAAGTTAACTCAAAAGTTAAGTTGAAATAGTTAATTTTTTGTGAAAAAGTTGTCATTTTAAATCCCCCTCTGTGTGCAGGTAAAGGGTTAAAAAAATATACTAAATGATAGGTAAAGACATCAAGCATCTATAAAAAAAAATTTATTTATTTGTTAATTTTATAATAAATTAATTATAAAGTCCTCATAACCATGAAAATCTCAAAAAAAAAGAGGAAATAACTCAATTTGATCTAGAACAAAAAGTAAGTTACTGCTTTGCGTCTTCATTGGGGTTAGCTTTGTCTGGGTATATGGTATTTTATTATTTAACTAATTCTTTCACCAAAATATATATATACAGGGTGTTCAGTAAATCAGGAAACGGGTTTCTATTGTTCTCATTGTTACAAACAATGAGAACAATAGAAACCCGTTTCCTGACTTAGTGAACACCCTGTATATATATATTTTGGTGAAAGAATTAGTTAAATAATAAAATACCATATACCCAGACAAAGCTAACCCCAATGAAGACGCAAAGCAGTAACTTACTTTTTGTTCNATTCACACATATGTGATATATATTTTTAATTATTCACATATTAATACACAAATTATTTTTTTTATATAATAATAATGATAAAGTTAATATATTTATATACATAAATGAAGTTGGGTAAATTACGAATGATAAAAATCGTTTGTACACAGAAAATATGAGAATACGCCAATAGAAAAAGAAATTTTCAATTTTGTTAATATTGCAGGGTAAAAAGCATCCTTTTTAATCATTTTAATGTATATATATAAACAAATATATAATAAAGGTACATTTTGTAGTAATTATATGAGGAAGTATTGAATTATGTCGATTTTAGTATAATATAAGCTTTACAATAGTAGTAAGTAATTTTTGAACTCTTGGGCAATATAATAATTCCATATAAAAGAGAAATGCCATCGAACACGTGCATAACGCGTAGGCATTACTACAAGGTTGTTTGTTGTTTACAGCATTGACCCTGTGCNCAATATTTCACAGCATTACTACAAGGTTGTTTGTTGTTTACAGCATTGACCCTGTGCTGTGTGTTTCTGTGTATTGCTATGTACCCTTTTTTTGAAACATTGAAATACAATATACGGTTTTTATTAATGCGTACTATTTGTACAGTACAAATAACCATGGTCTGTTGATTTTGAAATTAATGTGTTAGGTATAGTAAAATGCATCTGATTTTTGAACACATATCGATAACAAAGGTGACAATTGTGACTGCAATATTATTGTAGTATCCTTCCGCGGTGGACGTCAATCGCACGAAATATTTACAACGTATTTACGAGAGTGACCTGAAGACATCAAAAATGACCGTACACCAAACACAATGGACAGTGTTAGCGGCATCACAACCATCGAAACGTAGGAGCATATCAAACAGATGGACCATTCGCGTATCAGATTATTTTTTTGTATAACGGCTGCAACAACCTTTTTGATTTTGCTGCATTTCACACAAACCGTTGACAGCAGCAGATATCAGATTGTAAACAGTAGCGATAACGGATACGAAGATGCGGATGACACAGACAATTTAAAAAATAATTTGTTTGTAATAACTAATAATTACGATTAGTATAAACAACGATACGTCAAAAGATCACAAATCTTATCTAGTCGAAGACATTACCCTCAAAAATTGAAAAAATTTCCCTCGTTCCCCGTAAATGGGGGAAACCTCCAAAAAAATTACAAATTTAAAAATCGCTTATTTTCGAAATTTTTTCAATTTTTTGTACTTAAAATTGCCATAAATTTTTCAAAAATAACCAAATCAATATAATTTTTTTTTATATAGATGCTTGATGTCTTTACCTAACATTTGGTATATTTTTTTCATAAATTTAACCCTTTACCTTCCCAAAAGGGGGGATTTAAAATTACAACTTTTTCACAAAAAATTAACTTTTGAAAGTGTTCCGGAAGGTCTGATACTTTTATATATATCTTAAATTAAAGCTAATGTAATGTACTTTATTATGGAAAAAAAAAATTTGACCTCTGGACTTGTCTTCGTGGTGAAAATTACTACCTAATGCTATTTTCGTGTGAAAATTCTTGATTTTAATTTTTACATTTTTAACTTTATAATGCTATGACATATTGAAAAGTGTATGGATCAACATTATTTTTTTATGAGAAATAATATTTTTTAATAATCCCTTTTTCATTCTACATACTTTATCTTAATCAGGATATTAATAATNTTTTCATTCATTATTAATAAGAATTAATAAGATATTAATAAGAAAATAGCAGATCATGTAGCTTTTGGAATAATCCACCAATTTTTTAAAATTGAACACTATCTAAAGATTTGCATCGAAGCGTTTTTTTTTTTTTTATAGTGATTTTAATCACTGTCAGATATCATTATACTTGATCCAACTATGCCACGTTACCACTGTGCTGGTTTTTTTTATAATTATTTTCAGGATAGTTTTATAAATATTACAAATGATATCATACTTTGATAAAAAGTAATTAATTATTTTTATGATATGTGAAACTAAATAATAAAAAAAACACAACTCATTTTTAAATGTAGAAATTGTACTATACTAATATACCAATACATTTTTCAAAATCTAAGAGTGTTTACACCCGTTGAAACCTACCAAAAAAAAATCAAACCATTATAATTTTTTCTACAAAGTTAACAAAATGTGTTATTAGTTGTGTTTTTTACATACAAATCATTTTATGCTGTAAATATTCCATACGTTAATTTACGTTAAAATCACCCTGTATATTATTTAGCGCCTCACTTATGTTTATTATGATTTAATGTACGACACTACTGTTATTTGTGGAGTGTTACCTCCTCATATTTTACATTTAAGCGTCTGAAAGCAGCACCTCCTCTTCCCACCAATATTTATTAGTTGTATTTTATAGAGCGATTCACATCTCGCGTAGTGTTAAATACGCCCGCCCGCCCCTTAGTTAATAATTAATATAAAATACGGCTGTACGTGAAGAAATAATAGTATTGTGTTATCGTATTTAAGTGTGTGCTTATAATATGAACATGGCTGCAGGTGTGAAAGATGTTAAAATGTCTATGCGGTATCCATCTTAACCTGACTTGACTGTACTTGAAACGTCTGTATTCAATTTGAGTTTTGTTGAGAGAAAATTCATACACATCGGCTGCACATGATTAAGCGACCGTTATTCTCCAGTGGTAATAATAATATCTCCGAGTATGTACTTTTGGATGGATATCGATAAATTTATTAATTTTTTAAATTTAATCGATGAAGTTTTATCATTTATGGATAATTCGTGTAAATTAAAAATTTATTTGAGTGCCGTCTTTAACATTGTAAAATCGAAATATTTCTCGAAAAGTAATCTATCGATATCGAGTAAAGGTAGTGAAGAAGAAAAAATGGGACGCAATCATTGACCGAAGAAAATCCGATAGTATTGAAAGAAATGAAGTCATGTCTCTTGGAGGTATCCAAAGAGAAATACGAAACGTGCAACTTATTGTTTATGCAAAGTAAAGAAGTTTACAAAAAAGTAAAAGATATGGTAATTAACAAGTTTTTAGTATTACCTGAAAATTTATTGTATTCAATCATGAAAAGCATGGATATATCGTTACTGCCAAAGACTTCAACAGCACTGTACAAAGGAATAATTACATTGGATTATAAATGTATCGTTAAACGTATATGGGGTCAATTCTTTGCGGATTTCAAACATCAAACCAATCAGGATATTATACAAATAACAAACGAAAATATTAGGTAGATATTTCACTAAATTGTTTGTGATAAAAATACTAAATAAAATAAAAATTTTTAGTAAAAATGATGACCATCAAGAACTTTTGGAAAATCTCAACGAAAATATTCATAGTAATTATGTACACCATATAATAATAATTTATCCAATCCATTTAATAATCAAATTCAAGTATGGGAAAGTTGTAGCAATTTATTTAAATAAAAAAATATATTATTATTGCTATGAACTGGCTTTTTGCTGCCTAATTTCAATTGTGTAATTTAATAGTATATATATTAATCACGAGAACGGAATCCACTTTTGTCTTGTATATAAAGTATTAACCAGGCAAGCATCTAGTCCTTCTAGAACATTCGATGCTTGCTCAGCCCTTTTCAATGTATTGGGCCTACGGCCGCCGCCACCTGAGGCGACACGCCAATAGTAGTCAGCAAACTCGTTCAAGAGTCAGATAGTTCATAGGGTCGAACCTGGGCGACTCTCCACTGAATCTTTTATATTAATTAAGTATCAACTCATTAAAGTCGTTAAGTCAATTATAAGTGTAAATATATTTTTAAATATAATAAATAGCAACTAATTATCAAACGCATTA